GAGATAGCAAAATAACATTTGATTTTTAGATAAGGTTTGGAAGTTTCTGCGCGATACATTTATACTTGTAAAACTGAAACAATGGTACTTATTGAATGTATTATGTATTTATATTATGATCCTTATTTTCAAGTAATACTACGCTCAAAAGAATGTCTAATAACCGTTTGTTTATTAAGCAATAGTTTGTAATAGTTTGGAACAATTGTTACGAATTATCACGGCTTGGCGGTTTAATACGAAAAAAACTGCAAAAAAGTTTATAAAAAAGGGATAAATTTAGGGAGAAAAATAACAGATAAAGTTTCTACAGGATAAAGAATAAAATTTTCCAGGAAGAAATATACATATGTATCTGTGGACATTTTAAAGAACAACTTAAGCCTATAGTTTACGGACAAACAAAATAGCAAATATCGAATGTTTTCTTTTAAATAAAGTATACTATACTGACGGTAAAAAAAAGCTTTGTCATATGATGTGGAACAAAAAAAAATTATTTTGGTTACTGGACGATGCCAAAGTATCCTCCGGGAAGGCAGTACATATTTTGGTTGCAGCAGCTGAAGCTTTTGGTGTTGAGGCGGACGAATTTGTGATCAATCGCTCATCAATATATGAACAACGAAAAAAGAACCGCCAACGTGGATTTGAGTCTTCTATAGCGGAGTTTAATGAAAACGTAATTGTAGTGATTTCTTCTGGGTTTACTTTTAGTTATTAATATATGAATTTTTTTGCAATAATTTTATATGCACCTACATACATAGATTAGGAATGTGAGATCAGTGGTCGTTCATTGGGACGGAAAATTAATGGCAGACATAGTTGGCACGCAAAAAGTGGAGTGAATTGCAATTCTCTTGAGCTATCAAGGAACGTCCAAATTTCTCAGCGCTGCAGTTGTAAATCCCGATACTGGTGAAAATATCGCGAGCGCTGTTCGCGATCTTTTAATCAGATGGAGCCTCATTGATCGAGTTGGTGGTATGAGTTTTGATACCACTTCCGTAAATACGGGCGTAAAAAATGGAGCATCAATTCTCTTGCAAAAGCATCTCGGGCGAAATCTCATTAGTCTTGCTTTTCGCCACCACATTTTCGAAATCGTATTGAGGCACGTTTTCGAGACAAAATATTTAGCCTCCAGCGCACCAGAAGTTTCAATTTTTAATCGGTTTGCTGCTGAATGGAACAACCTCAACCATAATATGTTTAAAAGTCGACTTGAAGACGAAATTGTTCGTTCAAAAATAACAGAGCTGCAGTGGGAAGACATGAAGCATTTTTGTACGTACGAGCTTCAGAAAGTCCAGATTCGCGGGGATTACAAGGAGCTGCTTCAGCTAGCATTTGCTTTTTTAGGTGGTCCAACATCCCATGCGCGGTTTATGTCGAAAGCTATTTATTGCCTGAAGATATTTCTTTTTCGAGAACAGTTCAAACTGACGCCAAGAGAATTTAATAGTTTACGAGATATTTGCATTTTCCTCATTCGCCTTTATATGAAAGCTTGGTACTAGTGCACAAATCCCATTAAGGCTCCAATGCAAGATTAAAAATTTTTACAAAATGAAATTGAGTACGCCCAAA